GAATTGAGGTAACAAGAAGCAAGACGTGCATATTTTTATCTCAGAGAAAATATGTAATTGACCTATTAATTGAGACATCAAAGTTGGGAGCTAAGTCAAACAGAGAAGTATAGAAGACTGGTTGGAAAATTGAACTATCTTACATAACTCGTCCTGATATTACGTATTCTGTCAGAATTGTAAGTCAATACATATTCCCCAATAATTCGTCATTGGGCAGCTTTAAAACAAACATATATTATTTAAAGTGAGCTCATAGAAATTATGGACATACTCAGGTCGAATGTTTCTTAGATGCAAATTGGGTAGGTTCCAAGATTGACCAAAGATCCACTACTAGCTACTATATTTTTGTTGGAGAAAATATGATTTCATGGAAAAGTAAGACGCAAAATGTTGTGTCCCGATCCAGTGCAGAATTGGAATATAGAGCTATGACACAATCTATGTATGAGATCATGTAGATATATCAACTCTTAACTGAAGTTGGTCTTAAGGCCTCAATACCAGCAAAGTTGTGGTGTGACAATCAAGCTACTCTTCATATTGCGTCTAATCCTGTGTGTCATGAACTAACTAAGCATATTGAGATCGACTGTCATTCCGTTCGTGGAAAAAAAATACAACAAAATTTAATCTCTAGAGGATATGTTAAAATTGGAGAACGATTAGGAAATATTTTCACAAAGGCTTTAAATGGGACTCGGGTTGATTATATTTGTAACAAGTTGGACATGATTAATATCTATACTCCAGTTTTAGGGGGAGTGTTAGTGTAAATAATTATATAAAGGCCTAATTACAGGGATTGACTTAATTTTAGGGATTATTTCTTCTTAATTTAGATTTCTCAATCTGTATATATATGTAGTTGTTGTTCAGCTTGTACCAACTCAGTAGTAGATCAACTGAATGGTACTACGAAAAGGGAGCTTTCGACTTGCATAACCAATGGGGAAAATGATGAACATCACACGGCACCAGAGATGAACATTTTTTTTATGAATTATGGGGTGGTGTGAGAAAGATTATGTGAATCATGTACATTATGTGAATCATGTGCATGAATCCCTAAGAGGTTCATATCGTGTAACATAGTATGTCAAGTTTGATTATGATATATATTGAGAGGAGACATTTTTTCAATTAAGTATTGGCACCTGTATATTTAGAAAAATGTATGGTAAAAAAAGAAAGAAAAATTATTAAAAAATATGTGGTTGATAAAAACAAAAGAGAGAAAGATTAATTTTAGCCTCAGTTTGGTTGCCATTTTCACACTAAAAATGCATTTTTTTGTCTTGTCAAGCACATCTGTTGTAGTAACTTGGTAATGATTTCAATTTCTAATTTTTTGCAGTTCCCATTTTGCCCTTCCACTTGTACAATTTTGTTCAGCATTCATATGACTGATTTAGTTTTACTTATTTATTTTATTGCATTATTGTCCAACCACAAGTGCGTTCCACGTCATACACAATTTGCTTTGTTCGGGTATCGTGCATATTTTTGACAAGCTGAATTTGGAAGGATCTTTTTATTAAATTATTCATTGATTGTGCGTGTACATTACTCTAATTATTAAATTCAACAGAGACATCGAATTATGTTCCGACGTTCATACAACACTATGCATGTTTGAAAAAGTCACTTTTCACACAAAATGTGAAGATCAAAGTTGTTGTGTCATATAATCGTGAAGTCAGCCCCAATCACTTCGGCGTGGATTTCGTCTTTTGTGTCAGTTAGGTCAACGTCGAATGTGTTATTATCCATTTCTGCTCTATCAAATGCCTCGTCCACAATTTCAGACCGACGTGAAAAATTATGAATGTTCATCACTGCGACAACAACTTGGCTTCGAAATGAATAGCTAGACATACGATCAAGCATTTGCCATCTTTTTTTTTCCACACACCAAACGCTTGTTCTATTGCATTTCTGGAGGACGAGTATCTGTAATTAAATCTCTCACAAGCATTTCGAAATCGACGACGACGATCGGATTCATCATCACGGAACTCCTATAAATGATACAAAATATATGATCCTTTGTAAGGGGTCATGTAGCCCGGTCGATGAACAAATCCGGTGTCAACCAAATAGTACTTACCCTGCCCGGGTAATAGAAAATGAATTTTAGGACTGTGTATAGCACGCGCCAGTATTCGCGCGTCGTGGATATTCTCGATGGTACCAGCAAGCATGAAATACAAATTTAAATAGCATGCGACTAACACATTTTGCGTCGGCACTCCTTTGTGGACTATAAGATTTACATGCTCAATACGCGATATCACAGCTTTTATGTGCATTCTATCAATAGGGTCAATGCAATCTTGAAACAAAGGATGTTTCGTGGGGTCCAACCGTGGGGCTCTTAACCCTCGTTGTAGTCCGATTTTGGTTGTATGAGTACCTCCTTAAAATAATGACACACTGTTTGCAACGAATAACGTGCTGATAAGGTAACTACAGTAGTATTAACCTGACGGTATCCTTTTCCATTAGCTAATATGCACAAGAACAGTCTAATTTGCTCACAGATATCGACATGTTGGCTACTGCGTAAGCCATATTCGTCATGCAGAATATGTGCAAAGTGTCGAAGTAGTTGTGGATACATTCGGAACTCTTTATAACACATCTTAACGGTATTTTCCATTGCTTCTGTCATAAACAAGTGTCCATTTCTTGAAGACAGGAATCGTTGGATATGACGACGTTGTTTGAGAATAGTTCCTGGCATCGCTTACTGCGATATTACAATATGTAACCTATGTCGTAATATATTATGCCAGTTGGCTAAGAAACTCATCAACTTCTTCTTCGTCGTCGGATCCCGATAAAAGCGCACAATTGAAGTTGAGATCATCCATTGCAAGAAAAATAAAGATCACTGAAATTTGCAATATTACAAAGATTTCTACACACCGAACGAAAAATTCACCATTCATGTGGCCAACCAACGAAGTTATATAAGAGTGAAGAATCATTCCACGTGTTTCGTTTGAGTGAAATGCAAATAATTATACCACCAGATTTGAAAAATAGGACGCTTGTATTTTTTCGACATGTGAAACTTTTTTGTTGCCAGTAAAACGTTGTTCCCAAAAATCTTTTGTACATTTTAGTACCGTCGCCCGGCTTCCAGCATCGTCGACTGAGGATGCATCTGGCTCCAATCCCCATCCGCCACCTCCATCTTGATCAGGAGAGTATTCGAGCCTCAATTTTCTTTGACTTCTTATGCATTAGTTCTTATTGTACCGTATTACTTCCATTTCTATTTATTATTCGTCCACCATTGAGGAAAATGTCTTTTATAAGTTTGGGGATGGGCATTCATCATGTCTTCATTTCATCATATTTTACTGCAAATTTGAGTGTTTAGTTTTTAAAAAAATTATTTTGCAGCTTTAAATTAGATACCTTCGATTTTAGTGTAAACAGGGGGCACAATCTGCAACCAAGTGAAGATTGTACTAGGATGTCAATCAACCAAGAACATTCCGATCATCTCTTCCGCTTCTCTGCCAAATCACGAACTCTTCAACGTCTTCTTCGTGTAAATAGGGGCGTACAATCTGCAACCAAGTTTTCGTTTCTTCAAGACCCACCATGTCAAAATTCGGGGTGGGCGTAGGTCGGTTCGGTTCGGTTTTTTTCAGTTCCAGAAATTTTCGAGTATTTAGTAAATGAAATCGTCGGTTCCAAATATAATTTTGGAACCATTCGGTTTCAGTTCGGTTCTGTTCTGTTCAGTTATACAAATACCAAGTTCAATTTTAACTTTTACAAATTAACGTAATCTAATTTAATAACATATAAATAATAAGTTGTCAAATACAAATACGAAAAAGTAAATATTACTAACAAAACTTCGATAATTCATATCAATAATTCATTTGCTTCAAACATTCAAGTCTATATAAAAATGAAATATAAATTAGAAGTAATAAAGATAAAATATTTTAAAGTATTGATAATACTTACCAACAATTTAATGTAATCATCAGTTGATTAACTTTCCATACTAACTACTAAGAAACTATACAAGAAAAAATTGAAAAAAACACAACTAACAAACATAAATAAACTCTAAATTGTTCAACTAATAAGATATAATAAGAAAAAAATTATTAATTTGTTTTTAAAAAATAAAAGAAATTGATTTATCCAATATATAAAAAAAAATTCAGTTCTTCGGTTCTTGGTCGAGAACCAAGAACCGAACCAAACCATTCGATTCTCGATTCGAATACTCGTTCGGATATTTCATTTTTAAAAACTCGCTCGATTCGGTTCGGACATTTTGCCAGCCCTAGTCAAAATGATGTGCAATTGAAGCTTGAAGAAGTGGAGCCAACCAATTTTATGATGGGGGAGCCGATTAATTCCTTCCGCTTCTCTGCCAAATCGCGAACTCTTCAATGTCTTCTTCATGTAAACAGGGGCGTTTTAGATGCAACCAAATTTTCATTTCTTGAAGACCCACTCTGTCAAACAAATGTGCTGCTGGAGCTTGAAGAAGTGGCCGGAATAACGCAGCTAGGTACATGAAATCGTCTTTTCCTTTCAATTGGAACTGTTACGCATGGGTAGGTGAGCATTTGGTTTGGGTAAAAGGTAAAATCAACCAATTTTTCTGCTGTCTAACTATTTGCACAGTGAAGATTGTACTAGAATGTCAACCAACACTGTTCCAATGTTCATATTTTTTTCTACATTTTCATAATAAAATCTACGCCAAACAAGGGCTCAATTTAATAGAAGCCAACCGGGAGCTTCTTGTTCATGCCATTCTTGTGAATTTGGACATAATATCCATATCCAATGAAAGATAAGTAAAATTGAATGCCATTCAAAATTAGATCAAGAAAAAATAGTAACAGAGTAAACAATCTCCCTAATTCAATCCAAAATCACTTATTTAAACTCCTAATAAATTGTAATCACTTGATTACAAAGAACCTATTTCCCACATACTACGAGGACTCCTATTTCTCGTGCTCCTCTCTAGCCACAATCTTGAACTTCCCCGTTTGTTCTTGCTGCAAAACATGGACAACATCAGAAACAAACAACCAAAAATTGATACATCAGAATAAAATTGACATATTGCTGAAAGTCTTGAAGCATCGTGTCTAGAAAGTCGAGGCGAAACAAATTTATTTAAACGAGATGTCAACAGAAGAAATTTAAAGATAATCATGTTGTTACCTTCTTCCACAAATCAGTGTGGGTTCTGCAGAAACCTGCGACAATAGCCCCATTATTTCTTCCTTCTCTATACTCAATGCACAACTCTTCTTTCAATCCACATGTAACGTGGAAAGCCGAAGGACACTTAGGTTCAGAACAATCAACTACACACCCATTTTTAGCTCTGCAAATGTAGCATTTTTTCTCCCACCTCCACTTTGGCACCTTGGTGCAATCAATCCCTTCTCTGCCTTCAGGGTCACTGAAGAACACTTCTGGCACAAACAGTGCACACACAACATGAGCCCACTTGCCATCTTTTGTGGGTTTCAATGCACCCCCAGTTACAGGGCAGAGGCAGCAAGAAAATGCATTTGGGGTAGCATGTTTCTGATTCTCCAAGCATTGGGCGCAAAACCAATCACCTTCCGGGACACCCTTTGTGAATGGATGGCCATAACATGTGGTGTGAGCCATTAAATCACAGCCATCGCAAAGCACGATGGGATCTGTTGGATCCCCATCGGTGCTATCACATATAGCACACACAATCCCATCATCTTCATTTTCCTTAATGTCGTCTTCTTTGTCTTTACTTTCAATCTCGCTTTTTTTGACTTCACCGTGAGGTCCTCCTGGAATGCATATTTCCTTTGTTTCCTGCAAGTCTTTTTGCTGGTTTTCTTGTTTTTCAGCATCAAATGATGGAGTGTATTCGACATTGAGATCGAACGGTTGAATGGCATAAACCCTTTTCTTGGCCGGTAGGGAGTAACCATTAATGGAGGTGGAACTGGGAAGAGAGGGTGGCGAATCTCGGGATTCCTTACGCTTTTTGGCCGGAAGGCATAAAGGGGTCATTGATTTGTCTTTCGATTCCAGGTGTTTATCAATATTATTTTCTTCTAGTTCTTGTTGCATCAGCCTGAACCTTTTCAGAGGAGGCAACCCATGAAATCTGCTCTCCATTCTGTGAGATCAGAAAGAAAGACTGAAAATTTAAAAAAAAAAAAAAAAAAAAACTGGGTTTCGGATGTTGATGGTGGTGAATTAAGAAGAGCGAAGATTGGGAAGATAACAATGGAATAGTAAATCGTGAAGCTACTATAATAAATTGAAGGATTTCAAAGTGGCGGGAAGTTGAAACTATGAGAGTGAAAATTCAAAAAATGTGTGAAAAGCGTTAAAAACTGGCGGTGGTGGATTTCGATTTTGATTTGAACAAACTGCTGTATATGATAAGAGGAAATTTTCGCAAGGCGGTACAACAAATTGGAAAAAATTTCATCTGTCGTTTTCGTGTACGAATTTTTCGTTTTTGGGGAGGATTGGGATTTGGCGCCAAAATTCAATTTGGATAAGTTAAGGATTAAACCAGTGTTAATTTATGGGCAAACATTCACACGCCACAATTTTTGTTACCTACACCACATTTTAAGCGCGATTAATATCTCTAAACTTTTCTTATTTTTACATTTAAGTTCTCAACTTAAAAAATAAAATAAAAAAATTATCATATACTCTCTATTAATTTTCAAATCTTTATCTATAAAGATGATTTTCTTTCAAATTGTTTGTTATGCGAACAAAAAAACGACATAATTATCTCTCGTATCTTTAAATAATCGAAATAAATAACTAATACATATTTGCATGTCTTTTCAATACACAATGATATAATTATATTAAGCTAAGATTAAAATCCAATTAAAATTGAAAATATAGTCATTATTGGGTCACACTCATCTAATAAAGTCAACAAGAACGATTAGTTTTTCAATTTTAATCTGATTTTAATCTTAGCCAAACATGCTCAATATTTGGATAAAATCGTGATTAATAATAAAATATATTAATTAATTTAACGTTAAGAATAACAATACGATGAGAAAAAAGTTAAGAACATAAAGCAAAAGTGGGCAAATGACGAAAACCATTCTTGTAAGTAAAATATGGTACGTATTAACGTATATAAAAAATTGTTCTGGTTCGTATATAAAAAATTGTTCTAATTTATATATTTGAATTTGCCGGATTCCCCATTTTTAAACTTTTGCCCGCGCTTTCTTCGTTTCTTTGGTTTTGGAATTCTTTTAACTATCTTGGAATCTCTTCATATAAGAAATCTGAGTGGATTTTCTAGGGATGGCCAAAAAATCCGACAAACCCGATACTCGCGGGGACCCGCCCCGAACGGGAAGAGGAAAACCCGCTTAAACGGGTAACGGGGCGGTAACGGGGCGGGGAATTATTCCCTGAGGCGGGGACGGGTAACGGGGTCCCCGCCCCGTTAAAAAAAAAAAAAAAAATTTAAGAAT